TTCATTTAGAAATTCATTTAATTCTGTAATTTAATTAATTCGTAACTGCTAACTGTACATTGAAATTTTTCATAAAAGAATTTTGATTTAAACCCATAATCATATTTTTATTCTGAAAAAAATAAAAGAAGAGCAACATATTGCTTCAGGAAAAATGCACAGTGTCAAATGTATTTGTGGCTTTCACGATTAGTACAAATAAATACCATTACAAGAAAAACAATGAGGTCAAAAATTAAGTTTCTTTCACGTGTTTTTCAGTGAGTTGGATAAAGAAATAAAACCAGCAGAAGAAGAAAGCCCTTGTAAATTTATTTTCCGGTCAGTTTCTGAACTTGTTATTTGTAATTCGAAAGTTCACATCAACTGAATATTTAATCACTTGTAACACGCACTGGAGCTGTTTAGTTAATACGTACTGTAACCATTCAGGCTATTTCACAATTGATCTAACAAAGACAATTTTATAATAATTGATTATCATTAATATAGTTTGTCTTTTATCGTTGTGAAATGAAAATTTCACTTTTTGTCACTTTGACTATTATATTATTTATTACCATTACTTAAGCATCATGAAACTGGATGTTGTCAAATTATTGACAACGTCCAGTTACATGTTCTTTGGTTAATGCGTCAAAAATATTTAATATTCAGTAGTCATTTAAAGATATCGAAGAATTCAGTAGTCATTTAAAGATATCGAAGAATTCAGTAGTCATTTAAAGATATTGTGTTTTAGAATCAATGAATTGAAATAACACATTTCAGTGGAATGTATTACTCAGAGCACAGTCATTTAGACACCTTTCGGGATACTATGCACTGAATTAGCTGGTTAGATAAAATCTTAAATGTAAGATTATAATTTTGGTTAGGTAAAACGAAACATATTAAGTTTCAGTGCTTTAAAAATGTAATTCTGGATGTGAAATCGTCAGATTAAAGGTCTAAGTCGTTTCTTTAGAGTCGCTTAGTCGTTCACTTATTTTTCTAAGTTCTCTGCTACAGATATATTAAATATTCTACCTTCGATATGCGAAAAGTATTCTCCCCCTACATTGCGAATGAAGTTTCACCTCTAATTAGAACATAAAGAAACGAATAATTCGATTCTTTCAATCGATTATTTGATGATGAGAAGCAGACCTTTCGTCCAATAATAAAAGAGCAATTCAAAATTTACTTCTTTCCAGCTTCTCTAATCTGCTAAGGGAGGATGGGAGAGGAATTTGCAAAGATACAAGCACGATAATGACAGCGGAATTCAGTATTCGAAGTTTATCATATGTTATATCAGATATAACTTTTGTTAAATTTATTATTGGTTGAAAGATTTTCGAAATTCACAGTTATAGCTTAATTATTAAATATATTATTAATTTTCTCCTACCCATTGATAAATGTCAAATATTGTTAAGAAGTAACATATTTTAACCACTATCTTATTTAAAATATTTATTATAATAATTCAAAAGGTATTGTGCCACATGAATGGCAACGTTTCATCTAAGACATCGTGATATATCTGATCGGAGAAAGCGCATAAATTATCTGCAAATTTGTTTGAGGAAGAATGACTGCTCTTTTCTAAAGATCGGCTTGACAAAATAATGATTTAGCTTTTCTAAATGCAATGGTTTCTTTACTATGTCAATAACACTGAAAACAGGTATTTTAAAAGTTATACGTAGAACCTAACTGTTTATTTTGCAGTTCATAAAGCACATATATATATATGAACAGAGGGATGAAACGAGAGAGATCTTCATTGTTAATCTTATGAGGATAGCAAACAATGCCACACAGCTCTGCAACTCGAACGTTTCGCGTCGGTTACGTACATGTAAGTGGAAACTTTTGGCTACTAATTTTAATGTTAATTGCTGAGTAAACTTCTCTTATTTTAATTAAATAAATAAAATAGTTCAATTTCCTTTTGGCACTTCATAATATATTTCTTATGTGTTTTAGATAGATGGCTGCCTCTCAATTCTTTATAGAACAAAATCATTGATCTTAGACAAAAATGCAACTCAGTCGGATCAGTAGAATTGGTTCTTATAATAATTTTAATTCAGGTAGCTGGCTTTCAAAACAGAAATACAATATTTAGACAATCCATGGCTTCGGCATTTTACCGAAAACCTTTATAATATAATTTGTTGCCTATTAGGCCTAATAATTACCTTTTATTATATAATTAGGAACATCAGTAAACATTTTTAGCCATGATGTTTAAAAAGTACTTTTCGTAGGTTACAAGTTTATGTTATAATATTGTGTTTAATGTATATCAGCAAATATATATGTAAAGGCTATTACTGACTGCTTCTTACTGCAAAATTTATCACAAATGCTTAAAATTTCAAACATAATATTTTAAGCATATGTTCTGATAGCTAACTTTTGTAATAGCTTCCTCCATTTGTGAGCGTCAATGTAACAAACGGGATTCCTGTTCTCAGTGGTTTCATGCCGGACATACTTTTTGCTATAGCTAAATGGATGAATTTCAAGTGAGTGACAAAATTTACAATTTTCAAATTTATTTAATTTAATTGGTAGGCTTGTTACGTAGTCATATGTAACTAATGCTGCATATTATACTTTTTTCTTTGTGCTTGATAAATATCCCTAATTGTCGAATAAATGAATGACTAATTTAAACATTTTGGTTTTTTGGTGTTTATAAGTTAGAAGATTTTGTTTTTGTTTTATTTTTTAGACCACCTCAAATATTTTAAAGCGTATTAAAAGCAAAAAGTATGAATATTTCGAAAATAAATCTGTTAACTATTTAAGAAATTTCTTAAATATTCATTCATGACATAAAATATTGTACCGACGCATGCTGTGACATCATTAGCTTTCTTTTCTAATAATTTATAGCACTCGTATTTCCGATGTATTTATCTTAGGAATATAGTTTGTAGAGACATTAGGTTATTTCGAAGCAGGAGACATAAAAAATGATCAATGCCATCGCCAGGATTCGAACCACGGACCTCTGGAATTCCGGGCCTGAGTGTGCTGACCACTACACCACAAAGGCATGCTAAGAAGGCGGGAGAAATATCTTATATACTTCCCCTTTTAAAGCGGAAGTATATAAGTGTCTCTACAGTGGACCCAGTCGCCAAATCCTGGTAGTGGAGAAGCATCATCCACCAACCTTTTTAGTTTGGGCTCCAATGTAGAGACATTAGGTTATTTCGAACAGGAGACATGAAAAATGAGCACTGCTCTCGCCGGGGCACAAGAATTATTGAAAACTTTAAAGTAATTCTCTTTCTTGACATCAGATGCAGAAGATGCAAAAGATGTATATCGACGCGTTGCACAGAGACAATCATCGCAAAGAGACATTCACAACCTTCAGTGTTTAATCGTAGAGAAAAGAATCACCAAGTAGATTTTATCTTGTAGGATACGAAAAACGTTTTCGTGAAAATATGGCAAAGTGTGATAAATTTTGGGAATAGCAATAAATAAGCATCTGTAATATTACGGCACGCATTTGGTGATAAAACATTTAGTCATGATTTGGTATTTAAGCGACCGCGAATTTTTTTAAAATGCGATTACGAATGATCGGCAAAACACATATGCGAAAAAAAGACTACACTCGTTCAAGAAACATAGGTTTTTTACTCCAGGACAATGAGCGATCTCATGTTGCTACTGCAGATTTGGCAGCAATACCTGCAGTAGATGAGACATCACTATAATGTTCTCCATGCATATCATATATCATATCCGAATAGAGTTCGACTAGTTTCTAGAGAATTTAAATGATAATACTATACAGGTGTGGAAAGAGGTTCTTTTTAGATGAAAAAGTAAAAAACGGAGTGCTAACGAGGACGTTACAAAGCAGTTTACTTCATATTTTTGAATCATTTATAAAGCACTGTGAGAATGGTTATGATATGTGAAGGGCTTTAATTTTGAAAATAAAAAAGATTAAAGTCATTATTCTGATTCCTGATAAGAAAAAGCAGGCTTACAACTTTTCAATCAGCCTACTTATATGCATACGCAAATAAGTTGCGTTAGTTGCTTTTCTGACGAAGTCAGACAAGGTCCTAAAGACCGTTGACTCTAAGAAAGTCGAGCACAAGGACTGGGGAATTGGCGTAAATATTCTCCCTAGAGAGACCCAAGCAGCCTAATATGTGCTAGCCAAACGCCTGATATTCACGGCACTTGGTGCATGTGGTAAAGATTTTCATGCCCTCCTTGAAAGAGATGATCATAATATGATCGCTGGTAATACTTGAGAACGCAGTTCGGAAACTCCTGTCACACTCAAGGGTTAGAGTCCAACCAGGCTTGCTGTTCAGGTACCAGAGATGGGTTGGAGGACACCAACCATGATTTGTGACCCAACCACCATGATTTGTGATGTTTTCAAAGAATATAATTCTAGATGGATAAGGGCGGAGGAGGAGGGAGTTAAAAGACCACAGCCTTTATTTGCTAGTGTGTCTGCCATAAAGATCCACATGGAATGGAGATCCAGTGAAAATTTATATCATGATGCTGAGAAATTAGTGTCAACGCATATGGATGAGGGAATATGCAGCTTCTGTTAGTCCGGAGACCACGAACACTAAAAGGTAGAAGACTATTATTTAACATTTTAATGCATTATTATAACACATAATTTCAGAATATTATAATGTGCAGAAACATGAAAAAGTGTTTTATAAATCAGTTTAAATATTTTATCATCTTTGGCAAATATAAGAACAAAGTTCTTCAAACACTTGAAATTTTTTTCTGGATTAAAAGGTATCTAATTAATTTTCTTCGTAATTCTACATAAATGTTACTCAAAGCAGTATGTGAGAACCACTGTAAGAAATTATCATGAAATACCTTTGAAAGCTGTTACTATATTATAGTACGAGCAAAGTGTTATAATTTAATTTGTGAAAATTAAGTGAACAAAAATAAGTGAATTATCATAACAAAAATATTTAATCGCTTTTCAGTATGGAACTTTACAGAGAACCATCAGATAAATATGGAAACTTCATGAACGGCACGTGGGATGGCATAATAGGAATGGTGCACAGAAATGTAAGTATGGTATACCAAACAGAATGATAACAGCTCATTAAATTCGAAATTATTGTGTATATTTATGCCATATGTATCATATGCCATTGTCTTTATCAGGAAGTAGACTTTCTTATGAACCCTGTCGTACCAAGAGAGCCAGTTTTAGAATTCTCTTACTTTACAAATCCAATTACAATTGAGGCTTTCAGTGTGCTTTCTGGAAAAGAAAAAAAGGAAGCTGGATTATTTCTTTATTTCAGCGTGTTAGATAAATGGGTAAGTATGCTATAACTAATATAATTTTAGTCGTTTTTTGAGCTTAATGCTAACTTAAGCCCCAGAAACGTTCAAGATTTACCGTCAAAATGTAGCATTTAATGAAAATAAATGGTCAGCATGGTCTTCGGCTAAAATGTGGAAATAAAACTTTAAGAATAATTATGGATTCTCAGATGGAAAGCATTCACAAAAATGTATTTATAAAGCATACTAAAAAGCATTCTAATATGATATGAAAAGTTCTGTAAAATATTTTGAACTTTATTTATTGAAATGAAAAATAAACATATATTTGATTAATACAAATTTTAACCTGCTCTTTCCCTTTGAAGCTGAGATTTCAGGCACAGATACATAGTAACGAGTAGTTTACATTCAACAATATATATCTCTAATGTCAGCCAACTGTAAATCTTAAATTAAAAGAACTTAGAAAAACTAGCATCTTAAAATTTTAAGCAAATTATGTGGCACTTTCACTACAGCTGGTATATTTAATGGCAAATTTAAGAATACAAAATTTCACAAGAAACGTAGCGAGCTGCTGTTGATTTGCGCCTTGTATATTTAATTTATTTTAGAAAGGTAACAAGAATGTGAAATGAAATATGATGACTAGTATTAGATAAAAAATTCATAACCAAGACTGAATTTCTAAAATTAAAAGTTCCAGTGACTAAGGCTGTAAGGAAAGTTAAGCAAAATTAAATAAATAAAATTATAAATAATGATTAGTAAAGGCCCAGCTGAATTTACGTCCCGTTCTTGAGCGCAGATCAACAGTATTTGAGTAAAATATTTGCCAAAACTGATGTGTAAAAAGAACGTCATTTTATTCTTAAATGTTAATAAATATATTTGTATATATAATATTACTCTAAGTATTCAGAGTAACTGAGAATAATGTCCATCTGGAAAATCGGGTAATATTGGTCAGTTCATAAATTCGAGCGCATTTTTTGGTAAATTTTAAAATAATATAAAAAAACACAATTTAACATTTTAATCAATTATATATTTTCCTCCATTATCTACAATGTCTTGCCATCTTACAGGCAGCTGGTTTATGCCATTGCTGTAGATAGACTCTGGGTTTGATGCAAAAAAAAATTGAAAGTTCATTGTCTACATCCTGTTTAGAATTTAATTTTTTTCCCAGTAAAAAAAAATTTGCAAGACACGAAATAAGTGAAAATCACTTCGGGCAATATCTGGGGAGTAAGCAGGACGTGGCAAAAGCTCCCAGTTAAATTCACTAACTTTTTGCAGCTTTGTTCGAGCCGTATGCGGTCTATTGTTAGCATGATGAAACAAACTTTCTTGATATTCACCAATCGTGGGCGGTTTTTGATCAGTTCTGAGTTTAGACGGCAAAGTTGTTCACTATAAATTTCTGAATTAATCGTTTTATTTGGTTCTAACAGTTCAAAACTTCCTGAACGGGGTTGATCATCAATACTGCTGTTTCCAACAAAATTTTTAAACCATTTCTGGGCAGTCCTTACACTAATAGTGTGTTCACCATGTACACTATTAATTTTTATCACTGAAAACGTGGCAGATTCACCACACGAAAATAAAAAATGTAGCGCAGCATGTTTGTATTGATTATCTATATTAATTTTCCATGGGTAGTAAAATGCTTTCGATATTTTGGTGATGAACTGAATAATATGTTAGTCAAACGATGGCAAGTTTCAACAGGCTCAAAATTGTATTGTTTTATTAATGCGTCATCGTGAATTCCACTGATACTTTTAATGCGCACGAACTTATGGAATGGACTGACCCTATAGTTAATTAGTTACAGTTTTTTTTTTGACAGAATAAGTACAAGTGTCGGACTTCTTGTTTCCTTCTGCAAATGTATCTACATAAGTAAAAGGCGCAATGTTGACGGTCTAAAATTTTGATAGTCAACTTTCAGTGAAAAAGCACGAATTAGTGTCCTTACAACATATTTACAATATTTTTATGTTGATGTCTGTGTATGTGACTGACGTTTCAGGTGACTAAATTACATTACTATAAATTAGTCTGAGCGTTTTTTTTTTCCGGAATGGAACACATTACTCTATTTTACTTTGACTCCTATAGAAAATTTTTTTTCGCCTAACGAGTATTTCGCATCACAAGTGTGATTTCGAAGCCAGTTACGCTCGTTAGGCAAGGTTTCACTGTATTTCACTCCTGGTGTTTTACTAAAGTCGGAATGTTTTCATCAATTTTTAATCTACTTTCTCAGTAGCTATAGAGTTTAAATTTTGTACAAACGCTGTTTGTCGAGTATGGCGAAGTGAGATTCAAAGGGCAGCGGAACGTACGTAAAAAATTCGATTTAGAATTTTTTTTATGTTTTCATATTTTATTTAGTATAATATAAAAAATAACATTAGACCCGTATTGTTTGGATGTTTTTACCAACAGAATTCTTGAAGCAATCAAGGTTTTTCCTTTCTTTTCATTAAAAGAACTTTGCTGCCGTATTTCATCTAAAGTACTTAAATTGTTTTGTTAGTTAAAAGATATATTCTTATAGTTGTTAAAATTAGTACTATAGTTATTAAGGATTTCTGCACAAATACGTGACTTGAACTTAATGAAGTGCATGAAAATTAAACTGAACTTAATTTTTCTTTGTTTGCAGGTGTGGAACGGAATTTTGATCGCTTTTGTCGTCGTAGCTCTAACTTCTGCCATACTATACAAGAAAATAGTTCAGCCAGCTGATATTAACTGGATAAGAATTTTCAGTCAATATATTTGGCTTTTATTTTCATACATGTTACGACAAAGTATGTGCAGTTATAATTAACTTTCTAAAATTCTTTAGACTTTAAACATTATTACAAAAGAAATTAATTCAGTTATAGTACATATTTCAGTAATTTTTGGAACAGTTTTATTCATTATTGCAAATATTAACAGATATAATGAGTTTCACACAAAAATGAAAGTGACAGATATCTTTTTTTTGTAAAGTTAGAAGATTTCTGTGACAAGACTTTTTATTTCATTGATTTATAGGAAATTTAGTTATACTGGTATGTTCTCATTACAATCCTGCTTGGACAAAACATGGAGAAAAATGCATCTTTTCAAGGTTTAAAGCAAAGAGAGGCTTGGTTATTAAGGCTACAGTTATATTAGATATATTGGTTAATGTTCTTGCTAACTCTGCCACTTTCTTCCTGTGTGCAACATTTTACGGAAGGCTAAATGACGTTATTATCTATCAAAGCGAGTCTTTACGTAAAACTAGGCCTTGTTTGATGTACAAGATCTTGCCTTTTTGTTGTTAAAGGTTTTCATTATTGCAGTTATAATATTGAAACATTTAAAAATAATTTATTCTACTATTTTATCAACCATAAAACAGAGAATTATTATTCTTTTTATAAATACAGTAACTGTACTGTAAGGTAAATATTTTATACTAATTTGTAGCGCCTGTTTTGGGTTTCAGATAACTTAGCTATATCAATACAGTGTCAATAAGGTGTACTGTGAAGTGAATTATCCCTAATAGAGTAATTAACCATCAGACACACAGACACAGAATTAAAACACTTCATGTTTAATCCTTCTCACCACTTGCGAGTACATAAATTAAAATATACAAGCACCAATTTCCCGGCCAACCTGGATCTGGTTTTAAAATTCAAACCTTCCTTTCCCAAAGAATTTAAATTCAATAATTTTAATATAATCTACGCAGAGACTACAAGGTTACCTAGATCGTGACAGAATTTCGAACACAGGGATTTACCAGACAGGATCTAACTTCAGTCTAAAGTATTCCCAGCGAAACCAGCTTTAGCGTCATCAACTGTTTGTTTTCTTCGATCGGCAGGGCAGCGGAACATAGGTTAAACTCTCACACTCTTATTCGTATATCTCCAAAACTGCTTGCCGTTGATGTCTACATAAAATCTGGAATAAACAAACCCTGTCGTGAAAAGAGGCAGAAAGATAAGATTTAAATTAAATAACATTTCGTTCGTTCATGAATCTTTCCAGAAGAAGAGCTTTGAGTAAAAGTTCTTAGACTTTACCTATCATTATAACACTTGTAGTCTCTTCACATTAAATTTTAGTCGTTATCTTTATTTATTTATTTAATTAATTATAATTAAAGTCTTGCATAATTATTCCTTTCCAGCTAAACCCACCATCGGATGACTAGTAAAGTCGTTGAACATTGGTAGTTCGGTCCGGTGTTCAAATCCTGGCGAGTAGGCTGGCTGCATAGGCGTTTTCGTGGGATTTTCCTTGTGTAAATGTGTACATGAGACAGTTTTTCTGAGAAAGTCCTCCACCAAGGCATCCCTCTCCTTAGGCAAATAGCCCTCAAGTGCTTTGCCAGAATCAAACGAACCACCTTTCCAGTTGTACCTGGAAGGAAAAATACATTTTATAATGCGTGAGCACATTAATATATTTCATTTCACTGCAACACATTTATTTTGCTACAATAAATTCATTTTACCACAAGCATTTTATATAGTTAGAATACTTCCTAATCTTTATCTATGGCTCTTCTGTTTGTTCTTAAAATGACATAGTGTATGTGTTGTCTTTTCCGCTTACAGCTATCTCTACGCAATTCCGCATATTATATTAATACTACTCTCATCTTTTGAACAACAAGCTAGCATTACAAATATTTAAGTATATTGGTATATTGTAGATTTAGCTTATTTCTCTTATTATTTATTTAACTTACTCTTTACCGAAAGTCGAAATAAGACCGCTGCTTTTATCTTTACATGTTCTGTACAATTTCAAACAATTACTTGCGGTCTGACTTTTGATTATGCATCACAGTTTAAAACCTCTGAAATTTAAATATTTTTTCAAATTTAAAATTTTACCATACAGTTTGAAATATTAAATTAAAACTAGTTTAGAAACAAATCTGAATCATATGAGAATTATAGGCTATCTTTTGCACTCAAGTTATCACGTTTAATTTTAGCTAATTGCACTAGTTTGAAGTTTTCTACAACAAAAATATTTTACTTCGCTTTCATGCTGTTCCACTTCCTTAATCGTCGCTAACAGCGACCCCGGAGAACCATAGTTTGCAGATTTCTGCTCTGCTGCATTCGCTTTGTAGTTGATATCCACAGTAGCTCTGAGACTATACTTCTTGAAAATAGCTGGCTTGAATTTCCTTTCGAGGTCCGATTTTAGCAGTTATGTCTTGACCACATAAATTCTCCGCTAGCCGCTAGCCGACGTGAAAACGAGCGCCGTTTAAAGTATCGAGTCAGCTTAAATAGCACAATTTGTGTATTCTACGACTATGATACCTTTGTGTATTCTACGACTATGATACCAGCCTGAAATTTCATTTTGTTTTTTTAAATACCTGCAAGAGGCGAAGTTTATTTCTACGTGCAATTTGTGATTTCTGCTGAATTCAAGATGAAATAAAAGGGTTATTTGAAACTTTGTTAAGACTTTGTGCTGTAATAGCACAATTTTTAGCTTGCCCCCTTCCTCAAGACTCCAAGTTTCTACAACACCAGGATGGCAATGGAACCGTTTGGGTATATTTTCGATACTACGTGTCCATGAAAACATCCAGTAGTTTTAAGTGCAGAAGGTCTGTCTTGAAATTCTTTGAAAGTTTGGAGAGGCATTTCTTATTGTACCTGGTTGGCGGAATCCATAACACAACACTAACAGCTGGCCTGAAGTGTTGAACTAGTGTTGAACTAGTACAAAAGCACTAGAAAGTCTTTGCTAGGTAAACGAACCGTGAAGTGAGAATTAGAAATTCGAAGCATTCCTATTCCCAAAAGCATTTCCTATGGTTAAAGATAGAGCGATATCAAAATTAGAGCTATATGGTAAATATCAGACAAACGCTGATGAGTTAACTGATTTCAATATGCGAAAACTCAAAGTTGTGAAACTATTATGGAAGAAAACTTGATGGGGGAAGTCTTTGAAATTAAATTAATTAATTTAATTAAAAGTATCCGAAGTTGTACAGGAAATAACCACCAGCGCTGGGATAGCTGAGTTAATGAGCTCGTCCATGTACTAAAATCCACTAAACACGATAACATGGTAAAGCACCCGCTGAATTATTTCTTGGAAGGAGGTTGAGTACTCTTCTCAATAAACTGTTTTTTGTTGAAAAAAGAGGTTGGAAAAACATAAGAAGACAGATATTTAGGAATTGGTGGAAAGGCTACGTGAAAGTCAGATATGGACAGTAAGAAAATTCGTCAGGAGGATTATAATGCAAGGGTTAAGGATCTGAAAAATAAGCACTCACTGTATTGTGCACCAGAAGGAAAATGGAAAAATTCTGTAATAAATTCGAAGGCCCATTTTTTATTGACAGAGTTTCTCAAAAGGTGTTCCAGTTAAAAGGAAGAACTGGTAAAAATATACAAGCAAACTTAGGCCAAGTTAAGAAGTATTACGAGCTGGGTGACATGCCACTCGTAAGTACTATGTTAGAGGCAAATTCTGGCATGAACAGTGCAGCCTCATCGGAAAGGACGGTTGAATCAGTAGCGGTACCCACGGCACAGAAAGACCCGCAGAGCAAAAGGAAAGAATCCGGAAATGACAAAATAAGATATGAGGCCCAGGTTGGAAGAATCCGGGAAAAGAAAAGCTACACAGAACGGGGAGGGGGCGCAAGAAAGAAAAACAAAAAAGAGCAATGGAAGTGCCAAAGTTTCAAGGAAAAGACAATTATCTGGGAGATGTCACTACAATTCGAATAAGAAGGTATATTGAAGAACGGCGAAAAGAAAAAAAATTCTTACGAGCAGTATTAGCAGGAAGCAATAGCAGTAAAGGGGAAACGAATGGTTATTTACGTCGAAACTTATGCTAGAAACAGCCGATGTAGCTAGAGGATGAGCCATTGAGACGAAAACTAAGAACAGCCAGCTACTGGAAAGTACAGAAGAATGGCAGCCAAGATAGGGGAGACTAGGAATTCCAAAAGAATGCTTCAACATAAAGGTCAGCATCTCCATAATACGCGGATGGTCAAAGGCAATCAACTAAGATTAAGGACCAAACTGAAAAATGGAAGACTCCTGGAGATAAACAGGATGATAATAAGAATGAAAACCCCCATAAGATAATAAGAATAAATAAAATCTATCCAATATGAAGTGTGTTTCCGGAAAAAAAGGATGACGAGTTCGGCAACAAGAGATATGTGAAAATTTACTTTATTTGTTGAAGTGGAATGTTTGTTTGTGAAAGATGCTTATGTTAGTTTAGTCGAAAAGATTGTAAATAGAAAAAAATTAGATCTGTTTCAAGTCAAAATAACAGCAACTAGTGTACGCATTTGTTCATTTTCTTTGTAAATGTTGAAACTAAGTAAATGTAATTCTTGTAAGTTAAGTATCTTGAAATGAAAGCTTAGTGTAATGAATGAAATTTAGAATTTTGAATTCAGGAATATGATGTATTAAAAACTAATGTTTTATAAATGAAATTATTTAAAAGTTGGACTTTAGGTAATTTTTAAAGTTAAATGAAATTTAATTCTAGAACATAAGGTACAAATTTTAAAATAGGATGTGGATGAAGTCTGGTGTGTCTAAATATAGAACATTCGGTTCGATGTATCTAAATATAGGACACGTAGAAATTCGGTTAGGAGCTAGAAGTTGCGAAAATATTTTAATATTATACACTTGCTCATTCAACACAAAGCGCCAGAGTAGGTAGGCGGAGTGAAGATGTTAAGGGGGGAAGTGAATTGTAAAAGTTTATTCTTGTATGTACTTATTTGTATCTCAAAGTATTCCCTAATAAACTATTATTTCTTCCGGAAATCTGGAAGATGGTGTGAGCCAAAGAAAGTCTTAAAGAAAAATATTTTTCAACGGATGTTGACATTCAAAGTTAGTTTTAGAAACAATGTTAACTTAAATGAAATTTTTTGTGAAAAGGTGGCTCAAATAGTCACGATTTAGAATTAAAACTTTCATCGAAAGGTATTAAGACTTTTGTTTTCAAGTAGCTTAAATTCTGGTAAGGACGAATATAAGGTTATTTTATGTTAGTTAATCTTTTATTGTGATTTAAACATTTGCTATAACTTCTCCCTGTAACTCTCCCCATCCTCACCAGGATGCAAATTAGATTGAAAAGTATTTATGTCGAGAATTTTGAATATTTTTCTACTTGGAAGCGATGCTTGTAGTTTACATTCTACCGCTCAACTCTGCCAGTAAATATTCCGGTTTTAGCCACTCTGCTAGCCGTCGGAAATACCCGAGCCATTTAAAGAACTGCGCCATTTTAAATG